CCTAGTAGCTTCTTGTTACTACTAGTAAGGCACTTGTTACTAGTAGCGATGCACTTGTTCCTAGTAGCTTCTTGTTACTACTACTAAGGCACTTGTTACTAGTAGCGATGCACTTGTTACTAGTAGCTTCTTTTTACTACTACTAAGGCACTTGTTACTAGTAGCGATGCACTTGTTACTAGTAGCTTCTACTTTCTGAGACGTGGTACCGTGGTATGGTAGAAATCCTGTGCACGAATGTCTGTGACTTGGATTTTACGAATTAGCTACGAATTGGGGTATCAGCAAACCACTGTGTTGGTGTATCAAGTGGTGAGAGACGATACGGATTTAAGCATCTAGTTTGGGTAGGGATCTGGTAAGGTTGCAAGACACCCTGGCATGCGAATGAATGTGTAAGCGCGATCCTTAAGGTTGCACCTTGTTTAAATGTTATCTCTGATAGCTTTTGGCACTGGATGATTGGCTGTGATGTTTTTGCATTGGTTGGGGGTCTCCCTATTCAAACATTACACCCAAATCCTTGCAACAATAAATGTTCAACAACGGTTCAGGAAAGCGTCTGCTCACTGTAGCGGATTGCATAGTTTGTTGAGGGAATCTCAAGAGAAAGAGCATAGTTATACTAAGAGGTTCTAATTTAGCCTGCTGGCACTCAGCAAGTTTACCTTTGAGGAGGCATCAGTGCAGGGCATGTTCCAAACTGTACAAATATCCCTTTCATCGGCCTCAGATTAGATTGGTGTGGGATTCTGCGTCCAAATGTCCAAAGAGGACATGGGAATGGGAGTCCTTTTGGTAGAACTAGATGAATGGCAGCCTCGTATCAGCTTCCGGTTTGGAAAGGTTGATTTGGCATTGTCCCACCGTCTATTTATTCTTAACCAGGTGCCGGCGCATTGTCATCAAGACTGAAGCCACACTGTGCACTCACAATGGGATTGTAGTGCACTGCAGGAAATCCAGCTGAAATGAGGTTGCAGGCCCATTTCAGAGCTGGAAAGCCAAGTTCAGACCTTTTCTACGCATAAGAAAACCCCAATTGATCCCTGCAGGAATTGAATTAATATACATTCACTTGATTCACCTGCATTCACGTTCGTCCTCCATCCTCAGTTCTGCAACACCCGCGGGGAATCCACGCACCGAATCGGAAGGTCGGCGTGTTCTTCCCAAGCAGCTCTCGCGATCCGCCACGCCCACACGTCGACCATCTGGGTGAAGCCTGTGGACAAGGCCAAGCCGTACGGTTACCACAATAAAACATGCGGATTTTAAAATAGCCGAACAGGTATTTTAGCGTACCTCCGTGCAGGATCTGCTGGGGCCGCCCAGCCATTAAAACATGCGGAAAAGACATGCGGAAAGGCATTTCCTGAATCATTTCACCAATTCGGACTACTAGAGTCAAGCTCAACAGAATCTTCTCTTGGCTGTGAACTAGAAAGCAGGTATTGGTTGAATGCCGAGGCATTTGGCTGCCCTCAAGAGAACTGCGTGGACCCTCTTACGTGGACCTTGCCTAAGTCGACCTTCGTTTAGTGCCTTTCCTTACATGGCCCCTGCTTACATACGTGACGCCCCCATATGTGGAAACTCTTACATGCTACTTACGTGGACTCTCTTACGTGGACCCTGCTTATGTGGACCCCCCTACGTGGAGCCCCCTAGGTGGACTCTCCTACGTGGACCCTGGTTATGTGGACCCCCCTACGTGGACTCTCTTACGTGGACCCTGCTTCTGTGGACCCCCCTACGTGGAGCCCCCTACGTGGACTCTCCTACGTGGACCCTGGTTATGTGGACCCCCTACGTGGAGCCCTTTACGTGGACTCTCTTACGTGGACCCTGCTTATGTGGACCCCCCTACGTGGAGCCCCGGTACATGGACTCTCCTACGTGGACCCTGCTTATGTGAACCCCCTACGTGGAGCCCCCTACGTGGACTCTCTTACGTGGACCCTGCTTATGTGGAGGCCTTGTCTGGCCCTATGTGGAGGCCTTGGCCAGCTTTATGTGGCTTTATGTGGAGCCCTTGGCTTGCCATATGTGGAAGCCTTGGCCGCCCGTGGAGGCCTTCACTGGCACGTGAGGAGCCAAGGCCCCCACATAAGGCCCGGCAATCCTTCTGTTTTTTATTGTTGTGAATGATGAAGGAACTGCACACTTAAATATGCGGAGCCGCCCGTCGCCCCCAAACATACGGACAGAATAGGAATTATACACTACCTCCGGAAGGATCAACCCTGGGCCGCCCTCCACATATTTTAATGGCGTAACCGTATGGTTTTTGCTAGTAGTAAGGCCAGGAGCCCCTAGTAGCGTCCTTGCTCCTAGTAGCGATGCCAGGAGCCCCTAGTAGCTTCTTGTGCCGGCTTCTGAGTCACCTTAAAATGCTCTTACTACAGATCTAGATCGTGCCCCATCGTGCCCCTAAAGCCAACAAGAATGTGCACAAGGCTTCAGGAAAAGTCTCTCGTGGTTCACTGGCTGTGAACAAAAATACTAAACCCACATATGTCCTCAGTTCAAACATCTACAGTATGCAACCTCTCCAGTCTGCCTCATGGCTTGCACCTCCTTGGCTTTGAAGATCCTTAAAGGCTCCGTTTTCTCGGCACTCCAAAGAAGCGCCTCCCGTTCCTCAGCAATCCAGGCGCCCTCGCGTCGTTACGTGCGCCACCCTGCGGTAAGGAGAGACGTGACTTGTTGATTTGCAAGTGGCCAAGACCAGAGCTGTTCATCTGAAATCAGCATTGAGGCAAGAGGATGCAGTATTTGGAGAAGAAAATGCATGAAAATGCTACAAAATGTGTCTCTCCAATGAATAGGGCATAGGTTGAAAGTTCCTATTGTTTTTGTCATGATGCAGTATATGTACGAATGTGAATTCCCACCGCATGTTTCATGTCTGTAGCGGCCTATCAGACACCGATCTTGGTGCCACACGAACTCCTCGTGGGACTTCAAGAACTCCAACACGGCGGTGTTCCACTACAGCTGGACAGTTCACATTTCACATTTGCAATCCCAAGCTCCGACCCAGACACAAAGTAGTGCCCTTCCGGGTGCCACTCACAGCACCAAACAGGCTGCAGATCGCTGCCATAGCTGGCCAAATGCGCCAAGGAGTTCGGGTTCCAAAGCCTCAAAGCGGGAACCCTGGCCGAAGGTGCCAGGGAACCAACGCAGTCCGTCTGCAAAACCGTCTCTTCCCAAGTGCCGAAAGCGGACATGGCTTAGAAGTTTGCAGGACATGGCCGTCACTGCCCCTGAAACAAGACAATAAGTTCATGAAAAGGCGTCCCGGTGGGACCTGCGTGTGTTTGAGAAAGTGGCTCAAGCATATATGATCCTGCATGATTCTGCATGTACAGTATATGCTTCGGTGGGGATGAATGCCTCCCCGGACAGCACAAGCTGCTGGTTTCGGCACAGACCGGTCCATTGAGTTCGGTGAATGAGCAACTTACTGCACAATATGTATTAAACAAGAATAATGACTCAAAAAGGATGCGGGATGTAGCATGCAACATCTGCAACGACCTCTGTCTCTTTTTGTTGAGCCACTGCAAGCATCCATCTTGGCCGCCAGTTAGAAGGAATTCCTCGCAGCAGCTTTCCACTCTGTAAGGACACCAAAGTGGGACAGATTTGTCCAAAGTTCAGGGTGTGTCTCATTCGCGCTTGATGGGAAGCATAGTCCAGGAAGGCTACAAGGCAAACCGACATTGCTTGAAAGCTTGCCTCTGGAGGATACAGGGAAGCAATTGGCTGGAAGACCCTGGCAAACATGGTAAGCACAAAAGTAGACAAAGACCGCTTCGCAAAACAACTGGAAATAAGGGGAACAAAACAACCTGGGTGGTTTTCCGAAGAGTATCACCGAAATGATGCAAGGAGGGCCATGGACACGTAGGTATGGTCGACATGACGCAACGCCCCTGAACCAAGGCCAGGCGTCTGCGCCGGGGGCAAAATCCATGGATAGGACCCGGCCAGCATGACTCCCCAGGCGCTGGCCTCCAGCTTGAGAGAGTTGAGCGTTGCGTTGAGGGAGTGATCCCGGATAGTAGAAAAACCATCTCCACCAAGTAAAGGGGATCGATGTTTCTCTCTCTATATATATGTATATAGCAGTGTTTGCCTAGCCTTTTAGTAACTCTTTTACGACAGTCGCGGATCCTCCAAGCCAAGACCCCGAGATTCGGCCGAAGGGTTGATGCCCCTTTCTATTCGATTCTCTCATGTCTTCAGTTTCGAAAAGAGGTCCTACAACTTGCATCTGTTGTTTCCACCACAAAAGAGAAGTCAGATAGGAAATCCAGTTCCCTGGACTCTGCAGGTCTGCACCCAGAGTGTGCAACCATTCCTGTTCGGTCTAGCTGCTGGTCGCAGCGGAACGATGGTGTTCTCTGGCTGTGCACGTTGATGCTGTTTGTTTCGTGAAACGTCTCAAAGACGTAGATCCCAACCTTCCAATCGAATGTCCCCTCTCAAAGACTCGAAGCGTGGGTAGCTGAAGATCCTTGGGTGGCGAGCTTGCAGGCGCTTTGACTTAAAAATCCTGTGGATCATGGCGCTTGGTAGTAATCGGGGTGTGATCATGGTAGTCTCAGTGGAGGTTTGTATACACTTTGAGCCAAAGCAGCGATCAAGTGGCTTCTCTGTGAAGATCTGGGATTTGTCGTGATCCTGGGTTTCTCCACCTTTGGGAGGTTAATTCATGAAGAACCATGATACGTTGCACCAGAATGTGTGATGTGTGCACCAACTGGAACATATCCGGATTCCAATTGATCGAGAATGCTTCGTCCAATCTACATCGAGCGCGCTTGAACCTCCGGTCCCTTCGCCGGACACGCTGCCGACAGCCACGGCGGGACCTTTCTTGATGTTCCCGTCAGATCCCGTCACCGCCGGGCGGTGGAGTCAAAAGCTGGAGAAGTTCGGAGAATGAAGAAATCCGAAAAGGAACCGGTGACTAATTTGTTTAAAAGGAATGTGTTTTTGCAAAAGTTTGGAGATTCTTTTTGGTTTTTTTCGAGAAGGAACCGGTGACTATCACAGTCCGTTGAAAAAGATGGAGAAAAAAACACATAAACGACGCACCGGAGGTCGGAAGTCTTCGAAGTTGAGGTGAAGAAGAAACAAACATCCAGGCCTCAGAAACTGGGATTAACAGCAAGCAACTCTGGAGACGGAACATGGGAAAATGGGGCCTCATGACATGAGTCATATGAATAAGTAAGTAGTTGTAGAAGCTCGATATCATAAGCACATGTCGCAATGTCATCTGTGTTACCCCCCTTTGTCATGAGCCCACCTCGACTTGGCCAAGTGGTTTTGGGCAGCCGCTTCCTGCCCGCTTCGCCCAGGCTCTTGACTTCACGGTCGCAGCCAGCTGCGCAAAGGCCCTCACACATGGTGCCCACTTCGGCCACTTCATCCGCATCCACCCGCAACGAGACGAACCGCGGCTCTCGCATGGTCATGTCCACCTGGGAAAAGGGGGTACCTGGGAACAAACTGAGAAAACTGGTGGAACTGGTGAACACGGGCTCAGGAGAAACTTCCAAATGTATGGTTTGAATTATACATAATGCTAAATGTGATACTAGATGTAGTGGTCGTATTCCCCCATCTCGTTCAATGTCAACTGAATTTGATATTGGTGCTTGTCTGGAGTCTCCTTTTCCAAGTTTTCTACGTACCTATGATGCCACAGCACTACACATGTACAGGAGATCTGGATTTATCGTGTATAGCTTACTACCTCGTTTAGCAGGACTGCGACGTGTTGAGAACAAATGCGGCCACCTCCAAGCTATATATGTTTATGTCGGTAAATCAGAATCAATGCAGTTGCTCATGTATCTTTGGCCCCCAACGGTATTGCTGACCTACTTACAAGCCAAATATAGCCAAATGTGTCCAATCATGTGTCTCTGGTTGCAAGATCCTGTCATTTTTCAGCAAAGGAAAAGAGAAAAAAAAAAACGACCGCTGCAGGGGCTAAAGCGGCTAAAGTCTGTTGTATGATTACCCGGGTGAGATGGATCGAACATCGAACGGAACGGCTTCGGGTGCGAACGACTGGAGCGACTGGTGCTTTCGGAACATCCATCGGAACATCACAGTGTCTCTATAAGTTGCTATGCCTATCTGGGGGGATCCATTGGCCTATCCAACACTAACGAGATCTGAGAGGCTGGGATCAAAGATCTGCCGATCACCAGGAACCTTCAATGCCCTTCGCTCCGGGGATGGGATTTGGCCCGTTTGGGGGCTGTTGGCCAACAATCAAAGAGTTGGAGATGAACAAAAGGGCCAGAATCGGCCACCAAAGTGGGCATTGGAAACAGTCATCGAACAGCTTACAAACCATACATAAGGGAAATCCCACTATCATAACTTAACCATATTGTATATACACCATATACTCAATCCATACTCAATCCACTGAACATCCTGCAACGAATTCTGCGTGATTCTGCAAACGAATTCCCGACGAAAGTCAGAAACTGGAAGGTGCACCGAACACAGGGGTTGGTTGATGTCACTGTCTCCCTTGAAGCACTGGAAGACATTGCATCATCATGTCCACAGGACTTGGTATAGTTGCCGTGATGTAAGGGCAGTTGATCCTCACTTGCCACACTTTCACTTCTCACCAACCAAGATATGTGGGCCAGCCCATGATCCACGACCAGCGACTAGCCCAACAAATCCCAGTGGCGTGTTGCGGCGTGCACCCAACCAATGGTCCATGATCATCACCCTTTTTAGACACTTGTGACTGCTCTCCAACAAATCCACGGTGGTATATATAATATAGCGGTGGTTCATTTTCCGCTTGGTGGGTTGATCTATATCGTCACAAGTAAATCGAACACAAGCGAGTGTGATGAAGAGCGAAAAACCAAGCAACCGGCAGGGTACGCGGGCGCGAGCTTGAACTTGGGAGTGGCAGGTGCTTTCCTCAGAGGTGTCAACAAGCAGTTTCAAGTGTTTCAAGTTCTTCCCCCAGATCCACCAATCCACCAACTGATGCGCAGAAGCCCACCACCTCCGAGCCCACACCCGCACCCACCATTCCCGAGGATTTTTGACGAATTGATGTCCATCAGAAGGGTGGACTCGCGACATGTCGATGGAGCGATCGTATGAAGCAAAAGGATCTCGTCCAAAGCAAGATCCAGAGCTAAACCAGAAATCATCCTCCAATGTCAATGGAATTGTATTTTTACAAAGGATGTTCACGTGTTCACCCCCAAAGCGATGGGTGTCCGGTAAATGCACCCACAGTTCTGAGACAATGACTTGTTTCATGTTTTTACCATTCAGTTGCTATTCCTCCATACCCACACAGCAGTGGCTGGGGCATCAGAGATGCTTTCAGACCTGTGCCCAGGGCATTGTCGCTGCAACAACAAAATCGAAATCAGGTGTGTCTATAATGGCTACAAAACGACCCTACAAAGTCAAGTTTATCAGATCGTGTAAGCACCAATTTGTCTGTATCCCTTTGTCTTTTCTTCGGGCACCACAACGCCCAACGGCCGAGGACCCAAAGCCCAAGCGTGCGACCAACGTCTTCTCCCGATTCTGTACCTCCATGTGCGTTGAGACCCTCCACTAGCAAACTGCGTGATCTTTTGCAATGCTTCCGGCAATGCAGAAATTTAAGCCTGAGTTCGTAGTAACGGCATTCTGAAACTTGATCCATGGCTCAACATATCGTCCCAAAACGCCGCCAGGAAACACGTCTCCGGTCAAATCGAGTGTCTACCTTTTTTCTTCTCCTTCGCATCATCACAAAGCATGGAGGAGTTGATCTTGGAGATTTCTTCGACCTCGGCTGGCCTGGCATAAAGTCCCCGAAGTCTGCCCGAAAATCGAGTACACCTGTGACACTCCCTGAAACAATCATGCAATCATGGAAGTGGAACAGTTCGGCCCCTGGAAGACCCTTTTCTCGACAAGGAGGACAGGTCTCAACTGAGCTTCCATGATGGTCTGAGGGAGGTAAACTGTTTTGGTCAAAGATCCTCGCAGGCACAGGTTGCAGATTGGGCCTGAGCATCTCCCTCGGTTGGATCAGGAGCGTCTCAAAGAAGAAGGCAGATAAAGCAGTCCTCGACTCGTCCAGTTCAGTTGGGAAACAACGAACTCGCTGTGTCGCTCTTTGTCTGAAACTTGGCAGGATGGATCGGGAGTTGCTTGCAGAAGATTTCGTGAACTTGCCTTGACCTGCTCCAGTTCTGGCAAGTGGTCATTCTGATTCTGATGATTCAACTAAATTCTACGGGTGCAGCCCGAGCATCATTCCTGGACGCGCCAAGTATGACAGGAGGAGGTGATGCGAGCGCTCTGACAAGAAGATCTCCTGGGAGGACATTCTGAACGAACTCATGGTCCGCTGGGCGCCCGCAATTCAGGTCGACAATGCATTCAGGTCGACCAGCGTCACGTCTGACGGAGGAGTTTCACGTTCTTTGATGTCCAAGGGAGAGAACGAAAACAAAAGAAGGAAACAGAAGGATGGACCAAAGTTCCAGATTTGGCTCTCTGCGTCTGCATCTCTGCTGATTGAAGCCCTGCACTGGTTCTGAGCTCCTGTTTTCTTTCATCCAGTGATGAAGTCTGTGCATCTTCTTCGCATGGTGAACCTGAAGTCCGGGACCAGTCGGTTTGCTGCTCTCGGCCCGTACCGGGTGTCTCTTGCAGTCAGACACCCCTCGGACCAAACCAAGGAAACACCTCACATCGACTCGAGAACAGGGGGAGTGTTGTTCAAGTGGCTGCATCGCCATCAACCAGATGTCGGTGTCCCCTCCCTCGCAAAACTCCCACGGCTTTTCAATTTCACCTCATATAACTCACAGAACCTTCTGTCACTGTCCGGGAAAACTGTCGGAAGGAGCTAGGGACCACAGACCTCCCAGCCAACCCTGAAGTTTTTGCACATGAGCTGAGGATGTCCATGAAAAGAATGTAATATTTGTTGATATTTGTTGTATAGTTATCCTGTGCCAAGCTGTCATGAACTTCTCCAGGCAGCTTTAAAGAAAGACTCACCATATTTGGAGTCATAGTCAAAACTTGAGCTGCTCCCCATGTCCGGTCACGCATCTAAGTCTAAGCCATCTACCTCAGATTCTTCCACCCCCAGTGATTGGCTTGTTTCTCTTCACCGTCTCTCCGAACACCGTCGTGCCTCGCTTCAAGAGATCCACATAGCGCGCCTGGAAGCGAGCTGCCTCCACACCTCCGAACCGGTTCCGGACCGAACCGACACATCGGTGATCTTCCGACACCTGGAGACCGGCGGACGGGGAACCTCTTGAAAGGCTGAAGAACAAAGAGGCCTTTAGACCTTCCGAGTTGAACGGTTTCTCCGGTCGAAGCTCCACGACTTGGAACGGCCTCGAGGCCTCGTGCAAGTCACCACTTCAAGTGGTCCCGAATCCTGTCACCTAGAGTGTGCAGTCAGGTTTGTCCGTGTCAGATTCAATACACTCTACATGTTGTGAGGGGGTAGTAGCTGTGCTTCTTTCCGCATCGCAAACCAAATTGCGAGTCCTGGCAAAAGCATCATGATCAAAGAAGAAACGCCCGGTTCACCTTGAAAAGATGGTCAGCCTCCAGGTCAAGCATGGTAAAGCGACTTCAGGAAATAATCAAGAACAAAAAAGCTCGACTGGAGGCCGGAGGCATGGAGGGTGCCGGTATACAGTACCTGATACTTGGGGAATTCGGCGTCGTTGATCATCCGGAGCCGCTCCATCGGCCAGGCGGACGGCCATGACTCTCCACGGTTTTTTTGGGTCCATGGCCGCGGCAAAACGACGCTTTCTGCAGCTGAGGCACCATCTTCCTGGATGGACTGAGGTGTTGCAAGGGGAAATGGCCCCCATTTGAAGGGGAAATGGCCACAAGTGGCTCTAACAATGCCATTGGGGTCGTCTTTGCTTTGGTGAGATTATATCACTTGCTCTTTTTTCGCTCGACTCTTGAATTGGTTTGGTGCATTCATCTCTA